CCTCCGGGCCCGCGCAGTGGTACCGTCCGCGGACCTCACCACCCGGGCGCGCGCTCGCGCGCGGGGGTGGCCCAAACCGGCCGCGCAGCTTCTGCCCTCCTACCCCGGCTCCCGCGCGAATGGAACTGTCTGGACTGCACCATGCGCGCGGGTCCGGGGGTATGGGCGTCACCCGGCCACGCCCACTCGGCGTTAGGCGGCTGAGGGCGCGCAAAGGCTAGGCGCCCCGGGCCGAGCATGACGGCCACTCACCTACTTTGCTGGCCAGTGACCTTGGATGAGGACTGATTCCGTTTCCTCGCTGCGAAAGAGGGCAAACAGTACAATTTGTTGGCCATTCACCGAATCTTCGCTTCCCGGAGAGTGTGTGCCCTTTCTCCAGCCTCGGAAAGGAGAACAGGCTCTGTAGATCTGGATCCACCCAGTCTCCACTGGGAGACTCCAGTGACAACAGGAGACATCCGGAGGGGTAGCTCTGCCCTGCTCACATGCTCTGCAGGCCCATCGACAGACCCGGCCTAGACCAGAGCTTGGTGGACACCTGCGCCTGCCAGGCATGGCCAGCCCCAGAGGGGATCGGGCCAGTGAGCACTACAACTCCCAGGGTGCCGTGCTGGGTCATGTGCTGTGGTGCCTGTTGGTAGTTGTAGTCCCTGCGGACCACGCTTCCCAGGGGCTGTCCCGGGAGCCTCCCTTTCTTACCCCTAATACTTGGCTCCTCTTCAGAGGGCTAATGAGGTAGGGCTGCCTTAGTTGTTAAAGCTGCCAATTGATGGTAGAACAGCCACCTGGAGAGAGCGCTTTAAAGGGAATGTGTGCCCTGGAAAGTGCTCAGGAAGTCCCTGCCAAATCCGTTCACTGTCGGCCTGACAGCAGCGAAGGCTGCTCCTGGGCTGGTAAAGCAGCTCTCTCGGTAACTGCAGCATCTCGTGATAACTGGGACCTTGGGAAAGGATTGAATTCACTCACACTAAAGATCACCTTCAGCCCAGGCTCTCGAGGTCGCGCTAGGCTGGAGGCTGGGGATATTTCCATGTTGTGGAAGAAGTAGCTGCTGAGAGGAGAGATGGAGAGGGAGAGAGAACAGGAAGAACGCCAGCTTCACCACTAGACAGGGGGAAGCTAGTACTTGATTTCAACTTGATCAATTTCTGAGCTCATAGTGGGCGCACATAGCAAAGACTGGCAATGAGAAATTTTTCTATTCAAGACAAAAAAAATTTTTAAGGCCCACGTAGTGGTATAAACCTATAATCCCAGCACTTGGGAGGCTGAGGCAAGATGATCACTGTGAATTTGATGCTAACCTGAGCACAAAGTGAGTTCAACGCCAGCCTGAACTGCATAGTGAGACCCTGCCTCAAAAAGACAAAACAAAAAACAAAAAAAAATTAAAACACATGGCCATGGATGAACCCTGAAGTGTATCTACATTGTCCTCAGATGCACTTAGCTCTGTTGTTTGCCCTGTGCTAGGTGCTTTCATGCATGGTCTGATTAGTCCTCATAACAAACCTGAGCTGGAGTCTGCTGTTACACAGCCCTGCAGATGAGGATATCAAGGCTCAGCAAGATGAGACTCCCTGCCCCAGGTCCCTAGCTAGTAAGTTGTTCGCTGAGCATTAGGACTCTGGTCATCCTGGGCTCTTAGCCCCGGTTTCTGCCTAGTGCTCCCTGAAACTCACCCGGGACCTGGACTTGTTACTCAGACCTGGGTCATCACAGAGCAGAGCCCAGTCAGCTTCCCAAGCTGCCCTGTGACAGGTGGACAGGTGCCCCTTGAGATGGGTAGGGCACGATCTGGCTGTATTTGGCTTACCCAGAGACTGTCCAAAGGTCTCAGCAGGCCAGGACACACCTGTGACAGCCACAGAAGCATCTCAGAGCTGGGGCCCCAGCTGCGAGAGCAATGGAGGAGGGCAAGGACTTGGGGCCCGGGCTACCCTGTCTGAGGCTGGGCAGACAGAACCTGACTTGGTTTAAGGCAGAGATGGAGCCTGGAGCCTTGGGTGGTGTGCCTGCCTGTCCTCCTCCCAGTCGTCGCCAGCCATCATCAGTGCCTGCTTCTTTCCCAGAGGAATCTGATAGCTGTGGCTGGACAGTCAGGGACAAGCATGATTGCACACCTGTGTGTTACCATCTGGTTCTGCCAGCTACTCACAGTCTGACTTTGGGTAATGACCATACGTGTCAGGCCTCTTTTCTCATCTGTGGTAGGGGATTAGAACATCTCTGGTGTTGCTGGAAGAATTAAATAATATTTGTAATAATAACACAAATACTTGTTTTCTGTTTGTGTTTGTTTGTTTTGAAACAGGGTCTCACTGTGTAGCCTAGGCTGGTCTTGAGCTCAGGGCAGTTCTGCCTCAGCTAGGATTATGGGCCTGCACTACCATGCCCTGCCACAAATATCTGAAATAACCACATAAGAGCCATCACACACCCACAACAAAAAGTAACATCCATTGAAACATTATCTCTTTGGGGAGGTGCCATGCTCAGCACTTTTTCTTTTTTTTTTGTCTTTTTGAGACAGAGTCTCGCTATGGAGTTCAGGCTGCCCTTGAGCTCACTTTATAGCCTAGGCTGGACTTGAACTCAAAGCAATCCTCCTGCCTCAGCCTCCCAAGTGCTGGGATTACAGGCGTGCGCCACCGCGCCCGGCTTCAGCACTTTAAATACCTAACTCTATTTGATCTCGCAGCAGCCTTCTAAGGCAGGTGGCATATGTTAGCCTCAATTTACAGGTGAGGAAATGAGCTCAGAGAGGTCATGCAGGGTGCCTTGCCAACACTGAACTCAGCAGTCTGGCCCTGAACCTGGTCTCTTAACTGCCATGATTTAATAGTCACATGATTTAACAGTGCCGAGAGCTTTTTCAGTATCCTCTCCCTGAAAGTGCCTCTTGGGAAATACATCTTGGGTATGAAAACTCAATATTGCTTTATAGCTCCCAGAACTTGGCTGTAGTGATGTTTTTTACTTATTTTGTTTATTTGTTTTTTGAGACAGAGTCTTGCTATGTAGTCCAGGCTGGCCTTGAACTCACAGCAATCCTCCTGCTGTTGGGAGCCACTGGAGGTGGAAATTGGTCATATGTGTGAGGGCAGGACAGAGCCAGAGTGCCTCAAGCAGTCAAGATACCTCAGTCTTGAGAAAGACATCCTGCCTGGACTATTACAGTTGCTAGTCGCTAGGCAACATTACCTCTCATGATACTAACTTGGCAAGAGTATAAAATAAACGTGCCTACCGTTGAAGTCAGTCCTCTTGCCTGTGAAGTAAGAGGTAACTCCACCTGACCCCAGCTATTGTCTCTTGTCTTTATTTTCTAAATCCTCTCGCTGTTTTCTCCCGGGAACCACCGAGAGACCACAGAGTCCTACATCCTGCCTCAGCCTCCCAAGAGCTGGGATTACAGGTGTGCACTACCACATCTGGTGACATGTTTTTAAGTGGGTAGATACTGGCAGACTGGATCCCATTTCCCTTTTTGTTTTGCCTGCTGGGAAGCTTAAAACCTAATTCAGGGCCTATTTCTTTCTTTCTTTCCTTTTTTTGGTTTTTTGAGACTGGATCTCGCTATGCAGTTCAGGCTGACCTTGAACTCACTATGTAGCCCAGCCTGGCCTTGAACTCGTGGCAGTCCTCCTGTCTCAGCCTCCCAAGTGCTGGGATTACGAGTGTGTGTCACCACACCCAGCAGTAGGGCCCATTTCTTTTACTCAGAATTTTAACTATTTTGTGGCCTCTACTCAAGCTCATATTCCTGTTTTTTCTCATGTTTGCCCCTCATCCAGATGTCTTCATCTCAAACTCGCATCAGTCCTGCCTCAGCCTCCTGAGTGCTGGGATTACATGCGTGTACCACCACGCCTGGCTACAAATCTCGATAATGTGTTAAAGTGTTAAATTGGGGTAGAGAAGGAATTACCCTTTTTATTTGTACCAGGAATTGAACTCAGGACTTTGCACTTGCCAGGCAGGAGCTGTGCCGCTGAGCTGTATCTCCAGCCCCATACCCTGTTAAAAGGTGTGACTACAGTAACTACCTCAGATGCATTCACTGAGTGAGGGTACGGTGTGGTACCTACTCAGGAGGCATAGGCTGCCCTGTTGTGCTGAGACAGATGGCCTGTGCCTTAGGAAAGTTGTAGACTGAGTGCTAGGGAGCCCAAGTAAGTGTGTGGGAGAGTCCCAACTGCACCCCAGCCCCCAGTGAGGAATGGTGTCTTGATGACCTGATTTTATCTTCACAGGAATGCCATACATTAGGTACTATAAATTTCCTTCAAGTCAGAAATGGGGATGTCTGATGTCATGCTACAGGGAGGAACAGAGACTGCAAGAGGCTTAACAATGGAGAGACAGCGAAACACATTCCAACTCTGGCCTCTCTCACCTCAACTCTGACTGTCCCCCTTTCTTTCGTCTGGGTGGAGTGGGGGCTTTCTGCCTTGAGGGGAATAGTATTTTTTTTTTTTTTTTTTTGGTTTTTCTCCGGTACCGGGAACCGAACTCACAACCTTGCGCTTGCCAGGCAGGCGCTTTTGCCGCTGAGCTAAATCCCCAGCCCCCTTGAGGGGAATAGTAATCTGAGCAGAAGAGGCAGTGTACTGGTTCAGTAACTGAAGAATTTGGAGCTAGGGGAGAGGTTGCACACCTATAATCCCAGAACTCTGGAAGGCTGAGGCAGGAGGATGGCAACTTTGAGCCCCACCTGGGCAATTCAGCAACTTAGTGAGACCATGTGTCAGAAAGGGGAAAAAGGTGATAGTGGATGGCAGCAGGCAGGTCTTCATCTAGAGGCTCACACGAAGTCCCAGGAGAGAAATCCACGTGTCCATTTCTTAGTTCTACTTTACCCAATCTTAGCTGATTCCTTCGTCAGAAGGCCATTGGAAGACCCAGGGCCCGTTTTTTAGAACTCCCACCAGCCAGGAAGTTCCTGCTCTCAATCACTCTTACTGGCTTTTGAGACCCACTGGTTCTCACTGGCCCAGCTTCGTCCGTGTGGCCAGGAAGAAAGTGTGGTCTGCTCGGCCAGGCTCCCAAAGTACCCCGGCGTGGTGCGGGGAGAGTGGCGCGAGGAGGCTCCTAAAGGAGGGCTGGAGTGTTGGCGCCTGGGGAAGGGCTGCCGGCATCTGCACCATCAGTGCCCATTGCCAGGAGATAGAGAAGCCTTTCTGTTGAGTGGGCAGGGGACAGAGCGGAGTGCGGAGGCAGGTTCCACCCGGGGAGCCACGGGGAGCACCCAGGTGGGTGAGGAGGGACAGGGCAACCCCCCATCCTTCCCACATGACAAGAGTCCCAGCTCTGTGTGCGAATGACCCTCCGCTCTTTACCCTCTGGGGAACGTGGGTATGGTCACTTCCCCTCTCGGAGCTTCAGCCTCCTCTTTGGTGTAAGGGACATGCTGATAACACTCCCTCCGGGTGACCTCAGCCATCAGAGAGGCTGTGCACAGCACACAGTAGGTACGCACTCAGTGAGTGCCAAGTGCAGCCCTGTGTGGGGGGCACGGGACAGCCCTCACCGGGACTTTCCTAGGTCATGAAATGCAAGTTCTCAGGATCTGCCTCTCGTGATCTCTGTGGGCAGCTCCAGGGCTCGCTGAGCGCTTGCTGGCCCACGGTGCAGTCTCCACGCAGGTGCGGAAGGCTGCAGCGCCTCCCGGGGCGGCTGGAAGAAGCAGGCTGTGAGGCTGGTGAGCTGGCAGCTGGACCTCCTTTCCCCTGTGCATGAGGATGGTCGGGCCTCAGGCTGGATGAGGTGTTGGGAGCTTGGCCCCTGCTGGGAGGCCACTGGCACGGGGACAGTGTCGAAGCCAGCCTGGGGCAGATGGTGCCCTGGAGAGGGGGCTGCCCTTTGAGGGCCTCCATGGAGGGGACAAATACCAGCAGGTGACGGCGAGCTTTATTCAAGCCAGGGTGCTGAGCGCTCTCGCCTCTGCCTGAACCCCTCCGGCTGTCCTGAGGTCTCCGTGTTTGGTTGTCACACCTTCTTACTGGTCCCCGCCCTGACCTGTCCCCACTCATCTGCACAGGGCCCTGTCACTGAGGACTCTTGCAGGAGGGAGGGGATAGAGGCTTGAGAGACGCCTCCGCCCTCGTCACCTTTCCTGTCCCTGGCCTGCCGCAGGGCTGGGCTTTATTCCCAGGACCCCTGGGCAGGGGCGGGGGCTCTGTGGGTCCCTTCTCCTGTGGCCTGGCTGCTGGTGCCAGGAGCACTGTGAGACCTTGGTGTCCCCCGCCCTCAGCCTTGGCTCCTCCTGAGGATTCAGCCCCTTGGTGGGAGGTGTGGTTCTGGCAGGGTTAATGATTGCTCAGGGGAGGTGGAGATGGTGCCAAAGTCTGCCTGCGGTGTGCTGCTGCCGGCCTCACAGTGCCCACCCGTGCCTGCCAGTGCCCATCACCACCGAAGCCCCTCCGGGGCACGCAGGCAGGGACCACCTCGCTCAGCTGCGGCACCAACTCCTGGAGCTCCTGGCCAGGGGTAAGGTGAGGCCCTTGGGGCCACGGTAAGCCTGGGGGTCTTTAAAGATCCCAGCTTCGGGGAAATGCCGGGCACAGCCTGCCAGCTGTGGTGCGGGGTTGGATGGATGTGGGGTCGAGTCCCATCCAGCTGTGAGACCTCAGTTTCTCCTGGAAAATGGGGAATATACCTACTTCCCGGGGTCCTGCTGGCCTTGTCCCCTCCCATCCAAGTCCTTGGGTAATTTGGACTGGCCTAGGAGTCTTTACAGGATGGAGGGTTGGCAGGGTCCCCCGGGGAAATGAATTACCCTGCCTGGTCCCCCATCCTGGAAGGTGAGGCCGGGCGGCTGAGCCCAGGGGGCCTCACAGCTTGAGGAGAAAAGGCCAGGCTCTCCCTGACTGCCAGGCTCAGGCCTGAGCTTTGCCTTGACTTTGCTTGGGCTGCTTCTCGCGGTCCTCGTTTCTTCAACGTGTAGCAAGAAGCCGGAGAGCCCCCGGGACAGGCTGACGGGGCGCTGGCGCCCTCCCAGGCTCAGTGACGCATGCCAGTGCCATCTCAGCCGGGACAAGGAAGTGTCAAAGGGGACGACTTCTGACTGGGCTCTAGCCCTGGCCATTCTGGCCCCGTCCATCCCCTTCCCCTGCCCACTTGGTGGAGAGAGACTCGGCTGAGAGCTTTGTCCCTGAGGCAGGGACTTCCAGGTGCAAGGCTCAGTGCTCGGTGAGCACAGAGTCTACTGATCAAAGTAGACCATGGCTTTTTCTTCACCTCATTCTCCCAGCGGGGGAAACTGGGGCCCAGGAAGGGGATGGGCTTGCCTGGGGTGCACAGTGAGTGGGTGAAAGGCCAGAAACTGAACTTGGAGCGCTCTCACTCCCTGCCTGTCCCTGGGACAGAGCAGCCTGGGTGGGCACTGTCAGCACCCATGGCAGGGCGCCTGGGGTCTCCCTCCCCATCTTTACCCAGGGTCACCTTGGCCGGGCTGGTGTCTGCCTTGTGGGTGCAGAAGCACCCCCCGTGGACTCAGCTGAGGGGAGGGGGACCGAGTCTTCCCCGGGGATCTGTAGCCCGTTTGGATCTGACCTTCTGCCCCTTGCTCTTGGACATCTCTCTCTGAGCTTCTCTGAGCTTCCTGTTCTCAGAATATTTTCCAAACGTCATTCCTATCTGGGGATAGCTGAGAAGGAAGCTAGAGAAAGCGGAAGTGCGCAGTGACCTGCAGGTGGCCAGGCGCTGGTGGACGAGGACAGCGTGCCTCCCTCTCTGGTGCCCTGGAGGCCTGGGGTCCTCATTTCCAGTTGTTCCACATTCTGAGAAGTCTCAGAGCCCTGTCCAGACAAGTGGCCAAAATCTCCTCCCTGCTGGGCTTGTGGGGTCAGCATTCTTGGGCCAGGTAGGACATCTTGGACTTACTATATAGCCCAGGCTGGGCTCAAACTCACAGCCATCCTCCTGCCTCAGCCTCCCAAGTGCTGGAATTAAAGGCGTGCACCATCACAGCCAGCTTGAACACAGGGACCTTTCACTGAACTAGATTCCTAGCCCTTATTTTTATTTCGAGCCACAGTTTCACTGAGTGACTAAGTTGTTCAGGCTATGCTGAAACTGGTAATGCTCCCGCCTCAGCCTCCCAGAATGCTAGAACTATAGGTATGCACACCACCTTCCTCAAATATTTTTTTGTTTTGTTTTGTTTTTTTTTGTTTGTCTTCCGGTACCAGGAATTAAACTCACGACCTTGCGCTTGCCAGGTAGGCGCTGTGCCGCTGAGCTAAATCCCCAGCCCCCTCCTCAAATATTTTTTAAGTAATTTTTTTTTTTTTTGAGGCAGGGTCTCACTTTGTACTTCAGGCTGGCCTTGAACTCACTATGTAGCCCAGGCTGGCCTCAAACTCAGGGATCTTCCTATCTCAGCCTCTGGAATGCTATAATTACCATGCCTCCTTCTCAAATATACATATACACTAATTTTAATTGACACATAGTAGTTTTACATATTTATGGGACACAGTGAGGCATTTAGATACATGTATACAATGTGTAATGATCAGACTGGAGTAACTGGCATATGTATCACCTCAGAGGTTTAGCGTTTCTTTATGGTGGACACATTCAAAGTCTTTTCTACCAGTATTTTGAAATACACAATTAACTGTTGTCATCGATACTTACCCTATTGTGCTATAGAACTATAGAAGTTAGAAGTCATTCCTCTTATCCAGCCCCAAATACTTTTTTAAGAACCAGGAAAGAACAGGAGTGGGAGGGAGCTCGGGGCAAGGAAGCTATAATTTCTAGAATGTAAACAGCCCTCAGCACTTAGAGAAGTGCGCTGGAGGGAACAGAGCCTGGGGTACAGATGTGAGTGACAGGGCTGGAGCTGGCCGGAGCCTCGCTTCAGGCCACCTGTGGTCGCCCCACTAAGAGGAAGGGGAACCCCGGGAAAGGATGTACTGGGCACTGGAAACCCTGCTCCACCTCCAACCCCGCGGTCAGCTCCATCACTTTGTCTTTTGCGCCTTGCACTGGCTCCTTGCTGGAGTCCTAGGAACACAGGACCCAGAGGAAGGGCCCCGACCTGCCCGAATGGCTTCTCTCCTGACCTGGGCCTTAAGGCATGGAGAGGATGTCCTGTGTGTGCGGAAGGCCAGGGAAGGCCTCCGGACAGAGAGAGCACGTGCAAATACACAGAGGAAGGAAAATGCTGGACACGGAAGTGAACAGGGGCATTTAACGACCCTGTATCACAGGAGCAGAAGAGAACAGCTTAAGTGGGAAGCGAGACAGACCCTTCAAGGAAGTGGTGTGTGTGTGGGGTGCAGGAAGTATGTCTTGCAGCCTGTAGGAGCCATGGGAGGGGTCTGAGCTTGGAAGTGGTCCTGCCCCGTGGAGTGGGAAGCTCCTTGGTGGGCAGCTCACCTTGTGCCTTCCCTGCTCACTTAGACCATTTTCCTAAGGAACCAAATTGTGGGGATGATACTGTAAACTGAAGAGCTTTGGCCTCGTGATGATTAAATCAGTATGGTTTTGTTTTGTTTTGTTTTGGAACTGGGAATTGAACTCAGGACCCTGTGCATGCCAGGCAGGCGCCGTGCTACTGAGCTATATCCCCGCCCCAGTATGTTTATGTGAGGTCAAATGTGTGCGTTTGTGATAGTCAGTGAGTATGCTAGTAACAAAAGCAAACGAGACTGCGTGAACCCAGGGCTGACCTGGCAGTGCACGGGGTAGCAGAGGCCAGGGTGGGGCCAACAGCGCTGAGCTAGGAGTCATCAGAGGGCTCACACCTGTCCCCACTGGCTCTGGGGTGTCAGGCAGGAGCCTTCGCTTCCCTGAGACTCAGGGTCCCCATGCGTAAAGGGGGCTGATGAGGAAGGGGATGGGGAAGCCACATGCAGGGGAAAATTGTGTATACGTCTGCAGACAGCGGGTCACCATTGCTGCTGAGCAGGGGCAGCAGGCTTCCTGAGGCCCCTCAGGAACCGGAATAGCAGGATGGAGGAACTTCCATGGGCAAAGAGCAGAGAGTGCAGCACGGGGACTCTTCGGAGGTCCTGGGCACCACGGAGAACAAAGACCCCAGCGCAGGCTATTGTCTCTCAGTTTCCCCCTGTTGGGGGCTTTCCCCGGGGAAATCTGACGACCAGGAAGGAAAAACCTAGAAAGGAGAAAGCACAGATGACTTGGTTTGGATTCTGGCCCCATGACTGGTAGGGTCACATCCCTCCCTCCTGTTGGAGAGGACCGAATGATAATGGATACAGAGTACGGTCACAGCCCTGGCCCTGCCCTGCCGGGTTCCCTTCCCCTGGAGAACTGGGCGGAGGATCCTGAGGGCAAAATCTCCCTTCCGGGAAGATGGACTCAGACGAACTTTGTCATGATGATAAATATACCTCAGGACAGCTGCTGGTTGCACACCTCATGAAGATTGTGGCAGCTGAGTCACTTCAGGAGGGGAAAGGAGATAACAAAAGAAATGAGGGGTTCAGTTCAAGGTTACAGCGTGCAGTTATGCCAGGTCTAGACCCGTCCACCAACCGGAAAGGGCCTCGAGTTTCCTCACATGGGGGACTCAGAAGTCAGCCGCCATCACAACTGCCATGTGCACCTCCACTCATCCACCCTGCACCGCCATCTCTGCCCCACAACCATCACCTCCACCTTAGCCACCACAGGTGTTATCAGGGCCCCACGCTTCGCTTCTGACCAGCACTACTGTCACTTCCATCCCCACTGCCACCTGAACCGCCAACACCTCCACCCAAAGCCCCAGCATCCTACCCACACTGTGGGCAGCACTGCAGCATTCACACTGTGCCCACCTCCTGCTGAGGGCCCTGGCTCAGAGCTGTGGATGGCACTGAGTCCCAGGTACACGCTCACTCCTGAGCAGCTGGCTCTGTCGCCTTTCCCAGCCCGGCTGAGCGCAGCCCTGATGCTCAGCACATGGGCTGTCCTCAGCTGTCATCTCTGGGGGCTCTTGGCAAACCAGCAGCCACCTCCCCAGGAACACTGACTACAGTCACACTGCAGGTCCTTGGCTTCATCTACAGAGTGCATGTTCAACAGACTCTGACCTCTCCACTCAATCTTAGGGTTGGGTGATGATGTTATAGGGGAGGGCTGGAGCAGTCTCCTTGGTGACTGGTACATAGCCCATGTAAGGTGAAGATGACCTCTCAAGACACAGAAGGAAGGGATTTGCACTTGCAGAGCATCTGCTGTGTGCCAGTTACCGAGCTGGCGGCTTCTTACTATCATTCAGACCACCCCCATCGCTCCTGAAGGTCACTCGCTGGTTTCCATCTTGCGGAACAGGAAACTGACATGCAGAAGAGTGGCAGTTCACCTCACAGGGCTCTCGACTCTCCCAGTTTTAGTTTCACCTTCTGTGAAGTGGGCTTGGTGATACCTACCTGGAAGAGTTCTGTGAGTCTTAACTACCATCCATTTCTGTGTGTGGCATGTGCAGCTGCGCCTTAGGTGGCAGCCTTTGCCGCTCATGGCCATAATCCTTAGCAGCTGCCTAACGTTCTGCCC